ATCAGCTTTAATCCTATAAACTATATCACGTGTCAGTTAGATAAATCATGCAGTACGTTCCTAAATCTAAATAAATCATTAATGATGTGATTTTGTTTCTAGTATAATTTATCTATTATCACTATTATCCTGTAAGCTATCTGGCTACACTGTGGAGGAGTGTCATCACTGAGAAGATTAGTCACCAGCACCACAGCTATAAACTTTGTTAACCATTGAGAAACATTTATTTAACAAATTAAAGTAATCAACTTTGTTGGCACGGACGGCAGGGTGTGAAAAATGTTACCGTGTTAGGAGACCTTGGTACCTGGTGAAACATCCACGTGGTTTGGGAAGGTCACTCTCATACTCGGCCCCATGGGTTTCCTGCATCTCCTGTCTATGATATTTACATGTCACAGTTGATTCGATATGCAAGGAGCAGTTCCTATTATCATGATTTTCGTGCAAGAAGTCGTCAACTGACTTACAAAGTCATAAGACAAAGGTTAAAAAATGCAAGTTGATGAAAATTATGGAGAAGCCTTATGGTTACCATTTCTTTGTGCGAAATGAAGGTGGGTGTATTTGATACTCGTTAGTTTGCCTGTTGGTTCCATTGTTGTATACCTTCTTCACATTTGAGAACGTGACATCACTTACTTAGATTGACCAAGGTTTACATGGCGGGTGTCGTCGATGAAGCTGAAGACGCTTACTTTTTCGGAACGCTTGGTTTTAATCTCTTTGTACTTTTTCAGGAGTCTCAGTGTAAATCTTTCTTTTGCTCATATTGTGCCCTAGTTTTATGGTGTTTGAGTTTGATAATGTTGCCATATTGGTATTTTCTTGATTTTTTTTCTCTGTACGATCAGAGTTAAACGAAGGGCAGTAACGTTAACCTTGGGAGATCGTAATGGTGACTCTTATAATTCCCATGGCATTGGGGTAAAGGTTATCTTAGGATAGTATAGCCCATGTAGTTACAGTCTCTGTAGATTGTAGTCAAGTGAAATTAACATCATACAGATCAATCTGTTTCTTTCCATGCTGTCAACTTGTTTAGTTTTGCTTGAAGACGTTCACTGGTACATGAAAATCTATTTACATGAATAAATGCCGAGCTCATTCTGATAAAAAAGAAAAAAAAAATAACAACCACCTACGTAAATAAACAGATCGACCGCAACCTCGATATTCCAGGGGTTACGATCACTTTCGCTGTGTGAAGAGATCTTTAGTGATTGTAACCCCTGAAGTATCGAGGAGGTTTGGGTGAATTGATAACGTAACATTGTATGCTGGCGACATCTACCAGTCGTTAATATCGAATCAGCATAGACAGGCTCATAGTAGAGAACATTTTATATTTCCCGTTATCCAACAACTGGGACGAAATCTATCTATGTGTTGAGTACATATTGAGGTAACGAGACTAATAAAGAACAGGCTATCATATTTCCTTATTGCTTCGATTTCATCACGGAAGTATGTCAATTTCTTTTGTTCTTTTTCTCTATTTTAGATACCATCAACATATCTATCTAAAAGCAGAGTTTAAGGACTTGACAATGTCTCTGTCGTCCTTTTTTATGTAAGTATTCTTTCCGATAAACCCAGTCTTGTATTTAAAAACAAAACATTGACAATAGAGGGACACACATGCTGTATACCAGTCATCTTATAACAGCCAGTAGAAGTCTAGTGTGATGTTTCGATGACTACACGGTCACCTTCATCTTATAACACAGCCAGTAGAAGTCTAGAGTGTGATGTTTCGATGACTACACCGTCACCTTCATCTTATAACACAGCCAGTAGAAGTCTAGAGTGTGATGTTTCGATGACTACACCGTCACCTTCATCTTATTACACAGCCAGTAGAAGTCTAGAGTGTGATGTTTCGATGACTACACGGTCACCTCCATCTTATAACACAGCCAGTAGAAGTCTAGAGTGTGATGTTTCGATGACTACACGGTCACCTTCATCTTATAACAGCCAGTAGAAGTCTAGAGTGTGATGTATCGATGACTACACGGTCACCTTCATCTTATAACACAGCCAGTAGGAGTCTAGAGTGTGATGTATCGATGACTATACGGTCTCTTTCATCTGACAAATTACCAGTGCAGTGTATGAGCTGGTAAGGAATCGACAAACTTTTTCGGCTGTATTATAATCCTACGTACACAAAGGTCAAAAATAGTGTGACGAGATGGTAAACAAATGATATACAAAAAATACACAAGATGATAATAATGTATTGTAGTCAATTCGGCCACGCTTTAACATTTGGTCACAGACTAAGAGTAAATATCTATGTATGTCGTCTGAAATATCATGGCGGTGTCAAAATTCCTCCGAATTCTCAATAAATGCGGGTTCATCTTTGATCTGAAACCAGATGTGGAACTGGCAATGTCGTCCCCTCGCCGCACCTTATACCTTTGTTCAGAAATCTTGTTTACTTTAAGTTTTTTTTTTCTGTTGCTCAATTTACAATGGTATTTATCACCGGTGCTAGCACATCTGTAGTCATGGTTTTGCAATTTCTACCATTTTAGTTCATAACAATCTCGTAATTTTAATGAATGTTTTCCAAGTATCTTCTTTAGCGTTCGGATGCGACGGTTACAATCTGTTATTCCATAGACACTTAATCACTGATTGCTGAAATTTATCAAATTTATTATCATCCATTATCATTACGAACTTAGGTATAGATCATATAAATTACCTGCAAAAACAAACTGTAGCACTTATTTCTATTAATAAAGCCAGCCAACGAGAAAAATGAGCAGTGTATCCAAGGATCTCGATATCTACATCTTAGTCTGTGATATATCGAAATCCGAGATACCACAGTTCATCATCAAAACTGTCAAACGTCTAGGTTTTTTTAATTACAGTTTTCTGGTCATATGCTTTTGTTATCTCTCCTCTGCTAGTGTTTGTTGTGAAGAAAATGTTATCTAACACCGTCACTTCATTCTTGAAGAAGGATACTCTGAACATAAATTGAAATGTTTTGTAATAAAAAAAAAGATCAATGATATCCGACTCTTAATTTGTATAATAAGGTGCGATTCGTCTGTGTTTTTGTACCATCTTCGAGATTGTAGATGTTAGATGCCAATGCTGGTGGAATTTTAGTCCCGAGGCTTGCCGTTTCCTGCATGCCACGTTTGAATTCATTCGAACAGTGGCACGTTTCCGAATAGACACATGTACTTGACATTGTTCTAAAATAATCTTATACAGTCTAACCTCTCATAACGGCCACCTAAGTTAGACGGCCACCTGCTTATAACGGCCGTTTTCAGACCCTCCCAATCGTTTTTGCTCATTAATGATACCTAATTTAATGGCCACCTGTCTACCGCGGCCAGCATCCACCCTTTTCGTCCCCAAACTCGTGATCGAACCTCGTTTAAACGGCCGTTTTGACCACAAGTCATTTGACAAGCTTTCTTGACTGCGAGTCACGTTTTCTCGCCACGTGAGCTGATGGCACGTAAACACAATTCACCATGCATTTTATATTGAGTTCGATTTCATTTACGTCACTGGTATACACAATACAGGCATATAATCACTATTGTGGCAAATCACTTCGAAATATGAGAAGCAAACGAAAAACTTTAACTCTTGAAGATAGGGCACCGTACCGGTACTCGATATGTATCGAAAACCGGTATTTTACGTTCGATAGATAAATCGGATCGAAAGTTTCTGTATCGAACAAAATATCGATCATTAAGAGAGAATAAATTCACTGTCGAAAAATACCACATTTAGTTTTTTTTTTGTCGATTGAATTCCATTGCGAGTGTTTTAGCTTCGTAAAATCAACACTTCGCTAGGATAGAGAGCGGCTATCCGTGACTTGAGGTCACAAATATTAACAATTATTGGGAATAATTTTGCATTAACAAACTAAACCACGAAGAAAATGTTTTGACTTGAATCACATGCGAAATAACAGGTAGAACATTACGGTTGTTCGATTAAGAATTTTTCAATAGCTTCATTAAAACTTGTACATGCCTTCCTTTCAAATTTGTTATTTTGTATTTATAGTTGTGTTATAAAATAAAGTTTGACCTGTCTTCAAATTACTTGCTAACAAGATAATAAATAATAACAGATGATGTTTTATATCTTAATTATTCAATTGTATTCAAATGTCAATGTGCAAATTGCCGCAACTTGGGTTCGAAAATAAGGAACCTCAATTAATAGGCCACCTCTCTATAAAGGCCACTTTCATAATTTTCCAATAGTGACCGTTTAATACAGGTTAGACTGTATATGTAAATTAAGAAATTTATTGAATTATGGGACTAGATCACCTCCGCATCTAAATCTTGATTTTTTTTCGATTTTATTTGATTCTCCTCATTTGTCTCCGTGGCTTCAAAATTTATGTCACTGGCATCACTGACGATTCCTAGAAAGACCAAACAGTTGTATGGAAAAATTAAATTCATTATTCGTCTACTGTAAACTCTAAATTCGAATTAAAGAGTGCTATTTACTTGTGTGTCTTTTGTAGGCCTACAATATTTACAAATATGTACATAATGCTCAAATTTTATATACTTACTCTAACATACTGACGTATACAGACGATCTGTATAGATCAATGTTAAACATTTATCGCTCGACCGGGCGGTCGAAAAAAAGCCGATAGATAGAGGTCTAACGTAACACTAACAGGTCTTTAGATGGGACTAAAAGATCATATGCTACTATTTCAAATCCAGCTGCTGCCTAACAAACGATCATTCTGATTTCCACAATCAGAAATGATAATAAATTGATTGTTTGGTTGTATTTTTAGCCCCTAAAAAAGATACGCTATCAACGGGTGAACGACACCAAAACAAATACACGTGGTAATGAACTGAAAATATAGTCAACTTCCGCTTAAACCGTTGCATCATGGGAAATAAGAACATTACGATGGATCGCAAACAAGTCTTATGTCAGCTGCCGATGATTTAATGTATAAAACACGATGGCTTTAGACCAAGCGTCTTCCATGGATGACGCCACAGTTACCTATGAGCTGAAGGATGGTAAGTAAAAACGCAAAATGATAGTTCGTTCCGCTGTCTACCAGCAGTCTCCCCATCGTCTACTTACACTCCGCAGACTCCATCGTCAACAAACAGCTGATGTTTTTTACGGGCTACAATTTGCATTCAGCTACCAAATGATATTTGATCCCGTTGTTATTTCCGATATTGGTCTGTTTATCAACGTGTTTTTACAAACAGATTGGTTTTACTTTCGCTTGGTTTACTCGTAGATCCAAAAATAGAGGCTTACCTGTGCCTCTGGTCGCCCGGTCAATGACTGCGATCTGTGTACTCGGTGACAGGATTTAAACCCCGAGTGCAGTGATTGTTACATGAACAGTCGTAGCCCTATATCGTTGTTTTGCTTGATTTATTGCATGTTCGCTAGGTGCTCAAAGAAACACCCAACCCTGAGTCTGATTTATATATATATATATATTACTCTATTAATCCAACTTTTCCTTCGAGCTCCCCCTTCAAGGAAATTTTATAGCCTATTTGTCAGCCGGTGGCTGCACGGATTATCGCACCAAGGCGACGTAATTGTAACACTGGGGGAAGATGATGCACTTACAAATGTGAATATCTCAAAAGCTGAGAGCTTGGCAAGCCTTAAATTTTCAGTACTTTGTTGTGTAATATGCTGGTCTGTGGGCAACATATCTATACTCCAGTCAGTTTTCAGAATCCCTTATAAATATGCTCAAAACCAGTGAATCTATAGAGAATACATGGTCAATGTCTTAAATTATAAGCTGTCAAGGGTGAAGAAAGACAAAAGTAGCAAGCCTCTTTCTGCCCTGAGCCAAAATGCAGCTTATATTTTAAGACACTGACCATGTATTCTATTTATCTTGCACTATTCATTGAAAATCAGACTATCAAAACTTCAACAGTTTTGTTGTTCAATATTTGTTTACCTGTCGTTAACATTACACTGCATTATGCCTGATGACATACCCCAAAATAATTGGCAACACAGACACAGTACCTTATAAATCTGTTAGTGCCCTGAACTGATAAAAAAAACCTCTTCCTCAGCTACATCTTCAGTCTGCTCTACCTAATCTACTTTCATGATTGTCTCTTTCTATTTCTGCAGCTCTTCTAGCCTTTCAACCTGAATCAGAATCAATCAGTCTAGTTTGCAGAGAGCCTTTCCTACTCCCTGAGATACAGAAGTAGTGACATCTTCTGCCTGTGATCTCATCCTTTTACTAGTCACTAGAATATTCCACCCTCAGGGTCACAAAATGTTGTAATGCTCTTTTGGCAATGTCTCCGGTTGTACAAAAATTTTAGACCCCTCGGGTGAAATATCCCTATCCTACACTCTGACACATATTATAGTCCTATAGCATGCAAAACAAGCTGTTAAAATCATAAGATTGGAGTAATTACAAAATTCAGTGAGATATACTTTTTACATATTTAATGTAGTACTGTAGATATGTTTTCATCTGTCATTTATAAACTTTCATACAAAATTACCTAAATAATACTTATTGATTTGAAGTCCAACAGGTTAAAAATATTCCTCTTCTAACCTTTCAGTGAACCTTCACGGTCAAGGGAAGGAACATGTTGGTATGAAGGATTTTGAACTGCTCAAAGTTCTTGGAACAGGAGGTAAAATTATATGAAATTATGTATAAAGATTTTTGTTTTACATCTTTGTATGGTTTATGTTATTGCAGAATAAAATGTAAGAATGTCATTTATAAGATTATGAACTTCAGAGGTACAATGAATATGTATTATATATATGACATATTCATTGATGTTCATTAGAATCATGTCAAAAATGTTTATTTTTTCTTGATTTGTGGAAAAAATGCAACACCTATTGATCATTTCTTATTGTTAAACTTTGTCATTCAAGTCCGTATCATTTACTATTTAAACAATTTCTTTCTTCTTATGTCTTACAAAATTCAGTGTGATACATGCTGCTTTTGTTAAAAAAACATGTTTTGCCTCACAAATTTTTACAAATCATGTGTTAACCTGCTTTCTTGTTTTTTAAGCATATGGAAAAGTTTTCCTGGTAAGAAAAATAGGAGGAGCTGATGATAAAAAGTTGTATGCAATGAAAGTTCTGAAAAAGGCAACAATTGTACAGAAAACTAAAACAACTGAACACACAAAGACTGAGAGACAGGTGCTGGAGGTGATTCGACAGTCACCTTTCCTTGTTACGTTACACTATGCCTTCCAGACAAAAGCGAAGCTTCACCTGATACTTGGTATGTGTAATAGCTATGGCATTTTGATTAGAAAATGTCTTATTCTGCACCGTTTTATGTATTTCAAGTCACAGTGACCTATATTCTCAGCTTCACTAATATTACTTTGGTTTGACATTGGATTTTGATTCAAACCATTAACTCCTACTTTGTCACTGTTATTTTTTTGTGAGACGGTTTAGTTAATGTTTCCCTGATACTAATGGAGTTAAATTCATAGAATATACCTGTTGCCAATACCCTGGTGATACAATGACACATATCTCTATTATTACTTTAATGACAAACTTCAAAGTTTTAGGATCCAAAATGGTATACTTTAATGACAAACTTCCAAAGTTTCAGGAGCCAAAATGGTCTTTGCCTTGTCTTGTTAATCAGTTTATTTACTAGAACCTAAATGCATTAAGAATCAGTATTTAAGGGATGTGCATTGTCCCTGCATCCCTGATCCAAGTCGCATAGCCAAGCGGTTAAGGCCACTATATCTTTATCAATATACCTCCACCTCTGAGCCATGGGTTTGAGGTTTATGTAGGGCAGTTGCCAGATACTGGCAATAGGTTGGTGTTGTTTCTCTGGTTCTCTTCCACAAACCAAACTTGAATGACACTGTCTGCTAGTAGGACATAAAAAAACAAAACCTGATCCAAGACTCATGATGAATGAAAAGGATTCTCTGTATTGAAAGATGCTGGACAGTTACATTTGTACTTGTCACTCAAGGTGGAATAAAAGAGAATTGAATCATTATCGTTACAGTCATGTCTACAATAAATCTTTTTTCTTCTGATTTTGTCCTTTCAGATTATGTTAACGGGGGTGAACTTTTTACCCATCTCAATCAGCATGATAAATTCACTGAAAAAGAAGTAAGGATCTACATTGGTGAAATAGTTTTGGCTTTGGAAACACTTCACCGGGTGAGTTACTTTAACACCGAGATCATTCTACAATGGCAATTCATCTAATATCAGATAGAATAGTTATAGTGGAATGAAACATTGAAAAAAATTGATGATTCATACTTTTGTATTTATAAATAAGAGGAAAAAAAACGTTATATTAAGTGTTAAAATATTGTTGTAATGTTGTTATTAATTTTTTTTGTAAATAGAAGAATGTCTACCCTCACATAAAAACAGATGTGGTCCTTCTTTGCTATAGTAGGAATTAGAATCAGCTGAATCTGCTGGTATCACTTAGACCTACAGCTTTACAGTTGTGCATCAGGAGGACTGCAGATTAGGAAACATGTAGTTTTAAAATGTTTTCATTCATTTTAAATATGTAAAAGTCATGTATATTAATGTTGTTTACAACATATATTTTCTTATACATTCCTTCGTTTCATTCGGTACATTTGGTAATGCAGAATTATCTGCTCCTGTGAGCAGGTATTGGTTGTTACATCACCTGTTTATGAGAGTAATGTGATAAGAAATCTGGGCAATTTTCTCACACAAACTAATGATATAAGGATCAATATCTGCTCACAAGAGCAGATAACTCTCCTTACAAATAGATAGAATAGTGTTTGTGGTCAGTTTGTCAGTGTTTGTTATTGACTTGTACATTCATTGATAGCTGGGGATCATTTATCGTGACATTAAATTGGAAAACCTCCTCCTGGACAACACTGGACATATCATCCTCACAGACTTTGGACTCAGCAAGGAATTTCTCCCAACTGAGGTGAAGTTACAATCAAATTAGTTTACTGCTCTTAAACTAAGAAATATACTGTGAAATTTAAACTATTACATATACTGTGAAATTTAAACTATTACATATACTGTGAAATTTAAACCAATACATATACTGTGAAATTTAAACTAATACATATACTGTGAAATTTAAACTTATACATATACTGTGAAATTTAAACTTATACTGTGAAATTTAAACTAATACATATACTGTGAAATTTAAACTTATGCATATACTGTGAAATTTAAACTTATACATATACTGTGAAATTTAAACTTATACTTATACTGTGAAATTTAAACTTATGCATATACTGTGAAATTTAAACTTATACTTATACTGTGAAATTTAAACTTATGCATATACTGTGAAATTTAAACTTATACTGTGAAATTTATCATAGTTGACAAGGGAAGACAATCTTTGACTCATGCCCAGTCTGGGCCTAGAATCCCACAGTCTGTACGCGTCATATACGTTGTTGATCCATATTTGAATTAACAGTCGTAACTGTACCAAAATTTGATGTAAAATGAAATTTATTATATATATTGTGAAACTTGTTCTATATACTGTGAATGTTTGCGACAGTTCAACTTTCTCTTTTTTTGCCCACTTCATTGAGATTAAGTTCATCCTAGCGGTAAATGCATTAGATATCCTTCTCAATGGAATGTTTAAGAATTGAAATGTCTCTCTATTTTTCTTCACTTTGAATTTATATATATCTGACTTGGAATAATAGACATGCCTTGTATCAGTTAAAACATGCACAGAAATGTAACCCTCCCCACAAGTATTAAGTCTACAAGATAAAATCAAGGAGACTATCGACAACCAAAGTGACTTCTTCTTTGATTTTAATTAATGAATGTGTTAACATAATCATATTTAATTTCTTATTTTCTAGAATGAACGAGCTTATTCTTTCTGTGGAACAATAGAGTACATGGCCCCAGAAGTGGTGAATAATGAACAGACAGGACATAACTATGTGAGTTTGATTAAGTACAGTATGCCCTGCTTAAGTCATCTCTTGTCTTATTCAACCACTGTTTAATGCTATATCCCTGAATATATCAATTTAAATATTCTGTCCCAGCTTTTTTTTCAATTTTTTTCTCTATCAACCCTGACTTATGCAGACCCTGGTTTAGAAATTGTTGTAAAGCAGATGTCATTTCAGCTTTTCAATTTTATTTTAAATGTGTACAATTTATGATGTATTTAGATTAAAGAATTGTTCTAAAAGTAGAGTCTGTATTTTCTGTGTATTATATGTTAACATTTGTGTTGTATTTTGTGACATGGCAGTAAATTAAAAACATATGAGATATGATATAATATAATTACTTCTGTATAATCCAACACAGAAATACAGCTCCAGTCATACTCTGTTTAGTTCATAAGCTGTTTATTTACAGAATTTAGAATGGTGGTAACTAGGTATGCTGATCTGTACTGTAAATTATTTAACATATAGTAGATAGAGACAAAGGTTTTAATACTGATATGGTTGTATTTATAGACAGTTGACTGGTAGTTGCTAGGCATGTTAGCCTCTACTATAAGTTGTTGGCTATAGAGATGTGGACTCTAATACTATGTGGTTTTATTTCTAGGCGGTGGACTGGTGGTCACTAGGTGTACTGACCTATGAACTACTGACTGGAGCCTCACCTTTCACTGTGGATGGAGAAAAAAATACTCAGCCAGAAATATCAAGGTTACAAATTTTTTTAAAAAAAGTATAACAATGGTGACCATGTCTCCAAAATAAGAACAGACACAAAAGTGTAATTGAGGAGACCACTATCCTATTTATTGTGCAGTTAACAGGTCTAGTATGATCTAGGTAAAACTACATTAATCTGGAACGATAACCCTACACAGGTCTAGTATGATCAAGGTAAAACTACATTAATCTGGAACAATAACCCTACACAGGTCTAGTATGATCAAGGTAAAACTACATTAATCTGGAACAATAACCCTACACAGGTCTAGTATGATCAAGGTAAAACTACATAAGTCTAGAACGATAACCCTACACAGGTCTAGTATGATGTAGTTTTTCCCTAATCATACCATAACTATATCAATACCATGCAGTTTTATCTAAATCATACCATACCTGATTCATGTAGTTAAGCCAATGACCTATAGTAAACAGGTTGGCTAACTACCCTTTGACTTTCTGCAGTCTCTTCACAGAAAGCTGTTAATTGTTTTAGAGGTCAAGGGTTAAGCTCACCACCACTTTAAAAAGAATGAGAATATACAGCAAATGCAATGCCATGTAGTTTAACCCTGAGCAAACACAGACCAGAGTGAAGACCATGTTGTGTTATTGTTTTAGGCGGATATTGAAGGCAAACCCGCCAATGCCAAGCGAATTCTCTAGTGAAGTGCGGGACTTCATACAGAAACTCCTAACAAAGGACCCTAACAAGAGACTTGGATGTGATGGAACAGCTAATATAAAGAAACACAAGTTTTTCAAGGTAAGGAATGGTTTGATAGAGCTCTTGGCACCAGTAACATTCACAGTGATGCATTTTCCATTGACCTTTTGAGGTTACCTCAATTGTTGATGGGTAGAGGCAACTTGGGGCTATTTTTGTCTGTAACAATTGCTGTTTGGTATGTTAGTGAGAAATTTAAAGATAGTATGTGATAGGTATTGATTGATAAAAGTCTGGCAAACATGTTGAATATATAAAAAAAATACAATTATCAGGCTTTAGAGTGTTTTCTTCTGTATTGTTTTATTCTGCACTTTCTCAGGGACTCAGGTAGGGCCTGTGTTTGGTGAAATCTCTCCAGCTACAATTTTGTATATTTACAGGGCCTCAATTGGGATAAACTGGCTCAGAAAGAGGTAGCAGCTCCATTTGTACCAAAGATTGACCATGAACTGGATACTGGTAATTTTGCTGACGAGTTTATCAGAATGGATGCTATTGACTCCCCAGCAATTATTCCACTTGACTCCGAAAAAATATTTAAGGTTAGTGTTTACATGTTAGATATTTTTTCTGATGTATCATATAGTACAGTAGTTGGTGTTTCTGTCGTTGATACAGCTATTTAGTACTGCTCACTTTTATTTCTTTGAAGCCGATAATTATCAGTACAAAAATTTAAGATTGTGCAAGTGTTTTCCTATTGTAATCTTGGTAAGGTAATTTTTATATCTTGTTGTCACATGCATTATGATGTCAACAAAAAATAAACCAGGAGTGAGAATTACCAGTTTAGATTTTGTGTAGGTCTTAATAATGTGTTCAAAAACGCTTTCAAAATGTATCAAAATTCATGTGATAAACAGAAACTTTAATTTCATGTGAGATTTATGAATTTGTCACATTCATTTTACTTAACCAATTGCTTGGGAAAATGAAAGATTCTTGACCCACACATGAAATGGAAATCTGTGTCGGATCTTCAATATCTGTTTAAAAATTTCCCCCGAAAAATATAATTTGAGACTTTGCTGATGTGAAGAATATTTCTAATTTGCTGGCATTTTATCATTTTACACTTGTGATTTGCTGATGTTTTTTTGTTTGCACATTTGGAAAAAAATTATCTTATTGTTATCATATTGTCAGACCATTTTTGAGGCATTACAATATTGTGTATTATCTTGTGCTCTTTTTGGTGTAAGAGACACATTTTTTTTTGGAGATTAATCTACTCTAGCAATGTTGAACTGAAGTCATTGTAAAACACTGTAGTTCTTACTAAATTTTATGTCCTGAAAGAAGGGAGGAAACTAACAAAAGAATTCGCTTACATCTAGATTTGTTTCACAATTAAAAGTGAAATACTTATTTGATGAACATTTGACCAGTATTTCAGGGTTACTCGTAAACTTGTGAAATACTTATTTGACAAACATTTGACTTACATTTCAGGGTTACTCGTATATAGCACCGTCCATCATATTTAGTGAAAACATGGTCAGTTCTGAGCTGTTAATGAGATCCACAGAGAACCAGCCAGTTGACCATAAAATACAGTTAGCTCGACATTTTAAGGTAGGTATTTCCAATCCACGTTTCACTCAGTTTTCCCTTAGGTGTTGCCCATGTTTGCCCTGTCATGTTGACCCTTAATCAGACGTAATACTCTGGGGATTTTATTTCTCAGGAATGCTAATCAAACTCTGCACAACTATGACAATATCTAGAATAAGGTAGTGTTTCATGATCCCAAGTTCAAGGTCATTGTCACTATTTTTAGAAAATCATGAACCAGTTCATTGACACCACACTATTGATTTTAATTTTTGATTTTGCTCAAACAACCTCAGGTGAAATTGTTTTCCAGTGTCTAAAGGTCAAGGTCATTATTACTACTTGTAGAATTTAATTTTTGATGTATTGGATATTGATATACATGTATAATTTTTTTCAAAACTGTCTACAGACATGTCTCTACATAAATGGTATGAACAAGTACTTAATTGAGTTTACAGAATTAATGACCTGCTGATTTAATGATCTTGTTTTGTTTCAGAATTCAACCTTTTTTCAGCATTATGACATAGACCTTAAGAAAAAGCCTCTTGGTGATGGTAGTTTCTCCATATGCAGGTATAAAGCTCCAGTACCTTGTACTGAAGAAAAAAGAGCCAATAATTTGGAAATTTGTTCAATTACTTCTTTTCTCTCAATATAAAGTTTCTTTGCTGTATAATTTTGAATGTTTTGTATCTTTATAAAAACTCTCCTTCAAGTACCATGGAGATCCAGTAACTGATGTCTAATGAATGTTATATTCTGCACACTTACCTATTTAAGCTTTAATCTTATTTTAGCACTGAAAGTTATATGCTAAAATTATGATTGTGCTAATTACAGTTTCTATACGGTGCTTATAAATATGTTAATTACTGTTGGTGCACAAATTTATTGTCTGTCTATCTGGCATTTCCTTTCGAACGACTTCTATGTAGTGACCAAAGCACTTAAAGTACTGATATTTGCCTGGAAAAATTCTAAGATGAAGCCCATTAGAGTTTGCAAATAGAAAAATTCTTGTCCCATAGTCAAGGTCACAAGGGTTAGATTTTTTTTTTTTAAAAAACTTCAAGTGACTTCTCATTAATAAAGACTTTAAATATTAATGATGTGAAATTTTTATGTATTTGTGAAAAAAAATTGAATATCAAGTGAGCAGGCCAATTGGGCCTCTTGTTTTTTTTAGGAAATGGTTTCATAAAAACATGATCTTGATCAAATTTGTTTTATTTTAAAGGGAGTGTTATCACAAAAAACATGGGACAAAGTATGCCGTGAAGATTGTGTCCAAGAGAGTGGATTGTTCCCAGGAAGTTCGACTTCTCAAACTCTGTCAGGGCCACCCAAACATTGTAGACTTTATAGAAGTGTATCAGGACGAGGTAAGTCAATGGTCCTTTGTTTAATATCTCCAGACTGCTGATTGGAAATTATTAAAGGAACTTTATTACTTATTTGCCTCAAAAAAATGTCGATTTGATAAAAACTTAATCATCACTGCTGTGATGGTAGAAGAAACTTTCTACATGTGGTATATTGAATTGAAATATGTCAATTTTCTTCCTTCTTGGAAAAATAATGCAAAAGTTCAATACATTTTCACCAAACCTTTGCTGTGTACACTGCAGTTTTTCTTAAACTCTATATCCCATTCAAGCTTGACAGTGATTTCCTGGCAGGGACCAGTATAATAGGACGCTCTCTATAATGGCCAATATAAAATATTCCTGTCTTGTTGTCAAACTTATATATGTGACATCAAAGAATAAAGTCAGGTTTCCCACACTTGTTTCAGAGATTGATTTATTTCATGTTTGGCTTGATATTTTGCTCTTTTTTCCCTTTTAAAATTTTAAATAGAATATTTTATGATTTTGTGTTCAACATTTTTCACTTGTGCTTCTAATTATCTAAAGATATTAATATTCTGTCATTAATGTGAAAATGAAACTCTTAATTACATTTTGTTAAATAGTTTTTAGTGTGTATTAAATAAGGAAAGACACAGTGTCATGCTTAAGTAAATATAGAGCTGTTGATTTCTTTTTTCAGTTACATGCGTACATAGTGTTAGAGTTGTTGAGAGGTGGAGAGTTACTGGATAGAATACGTAAGAAGAAGAGTTTTACTGAACCAGAGGCAAGTGAAATCATGTGGAAGCTTGTACAGGCTGTGGATTTCATGCACTCCAAAGGTGTAGTACACCGTGACCTTAAACCCGAGGTAAGATGATCATAAATTATCTCTATAATGATTAAATGAAGATTAATGTTGTGTTAACTGCCTAACAAGGCTTAGAGCATCAGGTGTGAATTTGGAAGTAACAAACAGGTTTTGATGTTACATATATGATCTTCAGTCAGTTTTCAAATTTTACTGCATTATTACTATATTGTCAAACCTGACACACAATCAAAGGAAATGTGGTATATTGGTCAGGTGGTGGAGATATATTCTTAAAAGATAGCCCAAAAATCATTTGATTACATTTTCAAAGAGGATATAATGTATTGTGATTTTAGGAAATGAAATATTTCTGACTTGGTCTTGCTGTGATGTGTAATAGTCCACACGTATCAGTATTGTTGCTTGTGTTTTGAAAATTACTTACAACACAATTTCTAACTTGGCCTTTTTGTCAATTTTACAGAACCTGCTGTTCCAGGATGCTTCAGAGAGAGCTAACATAAAAATTGTTGATTTTGGATTTGCTCGTCAAAAACCAGAAAAACAAATGATGCAAACACCTTGTTTCTCATTGCCATATGCAGCACCTGAGGTCCTGCCCGGGAAAATGTTGCCTCGTGATGGCTATGATGAATCATGTGACCTCTGGAGTCTTGGAGTCATTCTGGTAAGGATTTAATTTTTGCTCATTTTTTTGTCATCAAAGATAGCATGAAATTAAAAAACATTTATATATATATATTTATTTATTACAGTAAAATTTACTTGTTTCAAACACGTTTGAATCAAAGTGGTTTCCTCCCACACCCGACTCCTGGCTTGCTTACATCCAGGCCAGCAAGAGTGATTAGTATAAGTTGAAATAACTTGGTTGGCAATTGCTGTAAATTAAATGTATATTTATATTGAATCAAATACACCAGATGAGTTCAATGTTTTATGTGGCCCCAGTTTTTTTCATCTTTATCTTAGTAAATTAATCATGGATGACTCAAACACTGTTAAGTCGAAAACTGTGTTTGTGTCAAATATACTTTGTGGTCCATCTCTTCTAAATTATACCAACATTTCTTTTTTTGTCTTGAACCTTCAGATGTCACCTTGTCTCAGGTAAAAATTTCCTGGCTATGGGCTGAATGATGGGAGTGTGATTCGTCAGCTGTATCTGTGTTAACGAGCCCTGTTGTAATTTTCAATCAAATATTAATTCATGCATTCATACAGGTGCACAGGTGAAAGTTTGATAAAGCATATGGCAACCAAACTAAATCAGGCTTCAGTCACGTTATCATGACCTTCACCTTTTTGTAACCCATGTTATATCAATAGGGAATAGTCATAAGTATGTATTTAGTGAGTTTTATTTTAAAATATTGTATCTCTTTAGGATATAAATGTAAATGTTGCGTTACCTTAGGTTTTGATTTCACTAAGTCATGTGTATGAAAGTGGGTGCATATCCTCATGTGTACTACAAAGGCGTGTTTCACATCACATTTCCTGTTGTATATTCCTACTTATAACTGTTAATTTAAACAATTTTGTGTATAAAAATATAAAATCTTTTTATGTATTTATTAATTTTTAGGTCGCCTGAGCCAAAGGCTCATGGTGACCTATTGCCATCATGATTTGTCTGTCGTCATGCGTTGTTAACTTTTCACATATTCGACTTCTTCTCAAGAACCACTGAATAGATTTTGACCAAACTTGGCACAAAGCATCCCCATGGGAAGCCGCTTCAAGTTTGTGAAGAAAAAGGGCATGGCCCTAATAGGGGCCCCAGGAGGGGGAAAAAGGAACCATAAGATGGATTTTGACCAAACTTGGCACAAAGCATCCCCATGGGAAGCCGCTTCAAGTTTGCGAAGAAAAAGGGTTTGGCCCCAATAGGGGCCTCAGGAGGGGGAAAAAGTGGGTAAAATTAGGTAAATCTTTAAAAATCTTCTTCTCATGAACCAACAGTCAGATTAAATTCATATTTGATATTTACCGTCCTTATGGCATGGTCTACAAAGTTTGCGAATGAAAAAAAATTGGATCAAAAATGGCCCCACTAGGGGCGCTAAAAAGGGTAAAAAATTCAACTTTGACCGATTTCAACCAAATTTGGTAGAAAGCATCCCTTAGTGAAGATCATATGAAATTATGTTAAAAAAAAAGTGATTATGTCCCCTTTGGGGCCCATAAGGGGTGTAAAAGGGGCCATATGTAAAAACCTTCTTTAAATGACTTCTTCTCAAGAACCATTGGATGGATATTGACCAAACTTGGCACAAAGCATCCCCATGGGAAGCCGCTTCAAGTTTGCAAAGAAAAATGGTGTGGCCTCATTAGGGGCCGCAGGACGGGGAAAAAGGGGGTAAAATTAGGTAAATCTTTAAAAATCTTCTTCTCATGAACCAACAGTCAGATTAAATTCATATTTATATTTACGGTCCTTATGGCATGGTCTACAAAGTTTGCGAATGAAAAAAAATTGGATCAAAAACGTCCCCCACGAGGGGGCGCTCAAAAGGGTAAAAAAAATTCAACTTTGACCGATTTCAACCAAATTTGGTAGAAAGCATCCCTAAGTGAAGGACATATGAAATTATGTTGAAAAAAGTGATTATGTCCTCTTTGGGGCCCATAAGGGGTGTAAAAGGGGCCATATGTAAAAACCTTCATTAAATGACTACTTCTCAAGAACCAGTAGATGGATTTTGACCAAACTTCTCACAAAGCATCCCCATGGGAAGCCGCTTCAAGTTTGCGAATAAAAAGGGCGTGGGCCCTGTAGGGGCTCCAGGACGGGGAAAAAGGGGAAACTTTATATGAAAGTTCTACACAAGGTCCTGGCAAGTGTTTTAACTTTTTGGGGCGATTCAAAATCCAAGATGGCCACCCTGGCCTCTGTTTGGCTAAGACATTATGGACTTCCTCTCAAGAACCATTGGGTGGGTCGTGTTCAAACTTGGTACAGATGTTTTACACATGGTCCTGCACAAGTGTTGTTACATTTTTGCAACATTTTAAAATCCCCAGATTATTGACATTTATTCCTCAGGTGACCGTTAAGGCCCCTTGGGCCTCATGTTTATAGCTGTCGCTCTGTTCCTATGAGACATGTATTCAGTAAACAACCAATGAAATAGGGTCAATCTTTGATGCACAATGTCTCCGTTCATAGAAACACAAGGTCAATCTTTGATGCACAATGTCTCTGTTCATAGAAACACAGGGTCAATCTTTGATGCACAATGTCTCCGTTCATAGAAACACAGGGTCAATCTTTGATGCACAATGTCTCTGTTCATAGAAACACGGGGTCAAACTTTGATGCACAATGTCTCAGTTCATAGAAACACAGCTAAGCGAACCATAGAACAAGTCGAATATATTTAGTTTTGTTTTACATTTAACATAAACCAAAATATGAGGAAATGCATGTTATATGTCTTTATACACGGATGCCAGTGTATACTAGCCCAAATAAGCCCCATGATATCAAACAAATAAAAGATTATACTATAATACATCTGTTCAGGGCTGTGATAGCTCAGTTGATACAGTTACACTCACATGATCCCAGATGAAGATTTGATGTGTGTTGAAAGATGCTTTCCCAGAGCTGTGTATGTTTCTCAGGAAGATGAAGTCATGGGACAGTCCCGTGCTGTCATAGTTAGTATTTGGGCAAGAAAGACACTTTTATGCTCTAGACAATGTGTGTTGGACATCCCACATGATGTTCAGTAAGGTAGCGTCCAGCTATTAACAAAAAGATCCCACATCAAAATTAATAAAAAAAAATCATGCTCTTTGTTATTACCTTTTCCAGTACACTATGCTTTCTGGGAAAGTGCCATTTCAAACCCGAGGTAAAGCAGATAATGCCAGTGCAATCATGAACCGAATTAAAGTGGGAGAATTTGACTTCTCTGGAGCAGAATGGGTTGATGTTTCACAGCCTGCTAAAGCCCTGATTCAAGGTAAATGCTGGTACTTTTTTTATCTTATTGCTAATATTGTAGTGTTAATTTCCAATGTGAGTGTTTCTCGAAGTTTGAAATTCTTGTTAAATATATTTTAGCAGTGAAATTACTGTGAAAAATAAAACATATTTCAAATTAATAAAAAATCAGTTGATTACATAGTGATGAATTGTGATAAGTATATGTTAAATATGAACATTGTTGAATTAAAATTATATACATTGGGGTGCATTATGTGTCAGATGAGATCCATGTTTTGAATTTGTAGGTTTACTAACAGTGGAGCCGAAGAAGAGACTTACGATGGACAATCTACGACAGAGCGAGTGGTTGAGAGGAAACAACAGTGATGTATTTTCTGCAACCCCTTTACGCACACCAGGTGTACTGTGTCAGAGTCTAGCCGTACACCAGCAGCTCAGCGCTACCATGGGTGCCTTTCAGAAAGCTACACGGGAGGGTTTTAGATTACAAGATGTGAACAAGGCACCACTTGCTCGAAGAAGAAAGCACCGTGACACCAGAAAGAACAGTTCTGGAGGCGAACCCCGAAGTGGGTCTTCAGACAGTAATAATTCTAGCAGCTCCTCAGGAACTATACAATCTGATAACACATCACAGTCAGACTCAGCACCATCAGACTCCTTACTGACAGAAGGAGGTTTGGCTGTTATTCCCACCAGGAATTTATCGGATGTGTCAAATGGCTCAAATACCTCACAGGGCTCAACCATTAGTACAGGGTTTGTGCCCAACATTAAAGGACAAATAACTCTAGCTGATGACTCTGGTCAGCTGACGCAGGTGCTTGATAATAGCCAATCAAGCTCTATTTTGATTCACTCCTCCTCAACCGAATCAGATGATGTTTCACAGCTGTACCAGGCGTCACGAGGCACAAAGCGGAAGCACAGTAGTGTAGGGGAGAGTGGCTGTAGCAGCTGTGATGATGAGGAGGAAGAGAATGATTGTGTTGTCATGGTCCCTAACACAGATGTACTAACCGTCACATTAGACACTCGCTCAAAGGCCAGTCCTATCATCATTGACGACTAGTCCCTGTTTAGTTACAGGTCAAATTACTTCTTGATAGAATATACATGTAGGTGTTTCAGAGTTTTATGTAGGTATGTACCAGGCTGTGTGTTTCATCCTTTTACCCGACATAAAATTAAATCTCCTGAGACAAAATCTCACCTTATTGCCTTTTTTCCCCATTGTCATGTGTTTGACTGTAAAGAGCGGACATTTTCTTCTCAGAAACCCCTGAACTGATTTTCATGAAATTTAGCAGAAAACTTTGATAGGGATTTATATAAGCTTATCTGTGTGAGCCCCAGGGGCAGGGCAAAAAGGGGTCAAATTGACATAAATTTCAAAAACCTTTTCAAAACCCAGACATGCTAGATTCAAATTCACTTCATACATGGAAGTTTGTTAATGTGCTCTACCAAGAAAATGGAACATTGTTTTCTTTAGGAAATAATTCAAACTTGGTTAAAAGCATAGACAGTTTGTTGGTATGTACTTATTGACCCTGACTGACTTCAGGGACTGATGGGTAGGGCAAAATGGGCCAAATTGACTGAAATTTCAAAACTCTTCTTCTCAAGACCCAGATATGGTATAATCAAGTAATCTAAAGACCAGAAGGATCATTAAGGGCTTTACCTAATTGCGAATTCCATGACCATGGTCTTGCATCACGTTCAAGGCAGGTGGTAAAGTTTACGATAGTTCATATGAAAAACCTACAGTTTTGAATGTAATTTGTTTATTTTCTAATGGAAGTTATTTGTTTAGAATTATGAACATGAGATGGCAGTTGCTGCTATGCTCATTTTACATTTTCATTACATGTAGATTGTAGTTGGACTTGTAGTTAATTTCGGACATATTTTAGAACACGAGAGCCGTTACGGCTCATGGATCTCTTGTTCTTTACCCTATAGCCTTGTAGGTGCCTTACCAACACTTTCCATGAACTCACGTCAGCAGGATTTTGCCATTCTAGCAGATTTAAATTTCAGCTGTAAGCTATCTTAATACTGTATAACAGGTTTTTGTGTAATGTTCTGATTTCACTATTTTTGAACTAGAAGATAACATACCCTCGTTGAAGTTTAAAGAAAGAGTAACTTCCCTTGACTGAATTGTGATGTGTAGAGGATGGACGTAAGTAAAAGTTCAGACATCGTTAATTACCTTAAGTTAATTGGGATCAAATGCTTGTCTAGATAGTGTCCAATGTAACATTTGGTCTTGGCTATTAAAGCTTGTATATGCCGTGGTGTAAACATGCTTCTATTTTTAAAGTCAACTACACTAACAATCATCATGTGTGGGATTGTGTGGTGAAAAGAAACAACATGTTATTCAATATTCTGCATTCCGCATGAACTTTTTTAAGCTCTTTGCTATCTGATGTTTCAGAAGAATTTTAGCTGACTGAATGTACAAAAGTCTTTTAGCTGACTGCAGGTTCAGATTTATTTTAGCTAACTGCTGGTTCAGAATTATTTTTAGCCAGCTGATGGTACAGAAGTCTTTGAGCTGACTGAAGGTCAAGATGTATTTCAGCTGATGGAAGGTTTGGATGGATTTTAGATAACTGATGGTTCAGATTTATTTTGGCTATGTGATGGTTCAGAAGCCTTGTAACTGACTGAAGGTTAAGAAGTATTTTAGATAACTGAAGGGTAAGAAGTATTTTAGATAACTGAAGGTTAAGAAGCCTTGTAACTGACTGAAGGTTAAGAATTCTTGTAACTGACTGAAGGTTAAGAAGCCTTGTAACTGACTGAAGGTTAAGAAGGATTTTAGCTGACTGAAGGTTAAGAAGTATTTTAGATAACTGAAGATTAAGAATTATTGTTGCTGACTGAAGGTTAAGAAGTATTTTAGATAACTGAAGATTAAGAATTATTGTTGCTGACTGAAGGTTAAGAAGTATTTTAGATAACTGAAGATTAAGAATTATTGTTGCTGACTGAAGGTTAAGAATTATTGTTGCTGACTGAAGGTTAAGAATTATTTTAGATAACTGAAGGTTAAGAATTATTGTTGTTGACTGAAGGTTAAGAAGGATTTTAGATATCTGAAGGTTAAGATGTATTTTAGCTGACTGAAGGTTAAGAAGGATTTTAGATAACTGAAGGTTAAGATGGATTTTAGCTGACTGAAGGTTAAGAATTATTGTTGCTGACTGAAGGTTAAGAATTATTTTAGCTGCCTGAAGGTTAAGAAGGATTTTAGATAACTGAAGGTTAAGAAGTATTTTAGCTGCCTGAAGGTTAAGAAGGATTTTAGATAACTGAAGGTTAAGAATTATTTTAGCTGCCTGAAGGTTAAGAAGGATTTTAGATAACTGAAGGTTAAGAAGTATTTTAGCTGCCTGAAGGTTAAGAAGGATTTTAGATAACTGAAGGTTAAGAAGTATTTTAGCTGCCTGAAGGTTAAGAAGGATTTTAGATAACTGAAGGTTAAGAAGGATTTTAGCTAACAGATGGTTCAGGTTTTGGTTTTAGCTCACTGAAGGTATAGAAGTCTTTTAGCTGACTGAAGGTTAAGAATTATTTTAGCTCACTGAAGGTATAGAAGTCTTTTAGCTGCCTGAAGGTTAAGAATTATTTTAGATAACTGAAGGTTAAGATGTATTTTAGCTGCCTGAAGGTTAAGAATTATTTTAGATAACTGAAGGTTAAGATGTATTTTAGCTAACAGCTGGTTCAGATTTTTTTTTAGCTCACTGAAGGTATAGAAGTCTTAACTGTTGGAAATGTTTGTGGTGGGAAGGTTAAAATTTTCATCAATAACTTGAAAGAAGATGAGCACCTTTTATTTCCTGTTTGAATATGAAGTTGTAGTTAATGACAAATGTATACTCCCATTCTTGTTTGAATTAACGTTTTTGATCTATTGTCCATATCTAAACAAAATCAAGCTAAATTCATTTATTCCCTCTAAGATTGTTTTAAGCATTTTACATTGACTAAGCCTTACTCCATTTAACAGTGATTTTTTATCATCAGCAGAAGTGTTACTTATTAGTTTGTAGGTCCTTGTTCTCTCATGTTTTATGTCAAAATCATGAAAATATATCTTATCACTCTCAGTCTTTTTAAGAGGTCACACACTAAATTGACCTAGGTTTGAGAGTCCAGTGTCAGGCAATGTTAACTAAACTGACCATATCATCAAAGTTCACATTTACTTCATACATCTCAAATTAGAGGTCAGAGGTCACATCATATTGGTTACCAAGGTCAGAAATTTCAGGATTTCTTTAAAAATATTAAGAAGCTTTGGTTACACAGATCATGTGGATAGGTTTCAGCTGGCAGTTTCATTTTACTGTGGTATAGGATGGGCATTTTGAAACCATCAGTCTGGACACTTTTGAATTTTGTTTCCAGAACAGCCATGAGTAACCAGAAATTTTGTTTAAAGAAATAGTATACATCTGTTCAAAAAAATTGGAAATAAGTGGTTGGATTAAGAAGTGAAATATAAGCCACATACACGGCATCTTTGAAATCCAAGGGTTTTACCTTTGATATGCATGTGCTAACATAATCTTTGTGTACATCCTTAGTTCATGTCATGGTAGACATGTAAGGAGCCATTTGATTGGTTCCAAACGTGACCATTGACAGAGGAGATATCATCTTTTGAAAAATTTCAAGGGGACTATACCCTAATAAGAACCAGCCAATTTTACTTTTTATGTATTGGACAAATCCTTTCATCATCATCAAAGAGATCATGGGTATTAATGTACTATGCTAGTTTTGTATAAAAATGTCATGCTTGAGATTTACAAGTATTGAGTATTCTCAATTCTTATAGTAAATAAAGCAATAAAAAAAAAGGAGGGATATGGTTTTTTTAAAAGAAATAACACAAACCTTAGATGAGAATTTTATATTTATGTAAGAAAAAATTATTTGCTAGAAAAATTATGAACAGTATTATAATGCTTTCTGCATTACCTGTTTGGGATTCATTTAATAAACTATTATATATTATACGACATACAGTAAGACTCACTCCAGTCTAATTATGAAGGTTATAGTTTGATGACATGCTATCATTTATGATGCAAATCATTGCTAATCTGCATATTGCATTCTAGAACTATTTCAATTGAAGAAATTTGAGTTTTTACTGAAAGTTTTTAGTCCTGTTGTTAAGCTGTAGTGTACTGTTGAATGACGTCTGTGATGCTGCATACTCAATGCAATGTGAATCTGATTATGGGCACCTCTTGTACTCGTACCTATTGTCAACTTTTATGCACAGTTTATATATCTTATGACACTTTTTAATGAATTTATTTTTTATGTAAATTTGCAAGGAGATTTCGTTGCCTGATTCATCTTAAATTGTAAATATATATATATATATATATACACACACAAACACACAATATATACAAATTTATGTATTGTTGAGAGATAGGTGCGTATTACACTCAAAAATGCTTTGAGCTTAGATTTTAATTGCAAAATTTTATGCAGAGATCTGTTTTGTATGAGATGTTAAGAACTTTTACCCCAAATACATTTAGATATATCATATACTGTTTTACACTGTAGGGGGTGATGGTTCTTAAAAATCATGTAATGAATTATACAATTCCCATGATTTTGTTAAATATCTTTAAGGCTTAATTCATTAAGTGAAATTTTTATCTTTTTTGTCAAATTTTTCAATAATTTAAGAGTTGTTTCATTGTAGACATGCTCTCCAGATAATTCTCAATTCTGATTGGCTGAATAATTCTGGAAACTTCATTATCTTTTGTTTCCTCCTTAATGCAGATAATTTGAATCTGTCTTATTCTAGGCTCTGTAAATACACAATGTATAAAAGTCTATCGGCACATTCCTGTAACAAATGATTTCACTGATATGTTTATAGTACACCTACAGAATAAGTGCTTCAATGAAATTAAAACAAAGGCTGTGACGAAAAAATATTGAAGTAACAAGTGAAAGTAAATATTTTAAAAGAAAAATTTCTTTAAAATATAACTGGTGCACAGTATTATTTTCTAAATTGATTTTCATGTTTAATAAAAGAAAAAAGTGCTTTAATAGAAGAAAAAATTATAAAATGTTTAGTTGATGTAAACATAAAATTTTACTGTTATTGGTATCAATTTTATATTTTGCATGGTCTGTAGAATATCTGTAGTCTAAAAAAAAAGCTGTTGTTTCTGTTCTGTCTAAAATTTAAACCAAATGTTTTTTGGTGAATTCTGTTGTCAACTGAGATTTAAACATCTCATATATTTTGTATTGTTAATTAAATGGGATATGTCAGTGATAAAGATATTAAAAAAATACAAAATGGTGAAGATTTTATTTTTCATTTTTTTTTTCATTTTAGCTCGCCTGGTCTGAACGGCCAAGTGAGCTATAGGGATACCGCAATATCTGTGAGCTGGTGTCTGTCAACTTCTTCTTTAAATCACTACTAGTCGTGAAGAACTGAGTAGATTTTAACATGAAGCATCCTTAGGGGAATAGATTTTGTATTATGAGTAGGTCTGCACCCTTTGGAGCCCAAGGGGCAGGGGCCAATAGGGAACTCTATTATTTTCTTTAAAATTGCAGGATATTGTCCAAATTTGGTCTGAAGCATGATTTGGTGAAGGGAAGGGAGGGTTGGGACCCAAAAGAGGAAATCAAGCAAATTCTTTAAAATCCTCCTTCTATAGGAATATCTAGCCATTGTCTCCTTTAAGAAGAGCAATGGGGCTTAATATTGGAAACAGATGTTTGAGTACTATTTTTATTAGATAAAATTAATCAATTTTGACAAACTAAACCAGGTAAGCAATACAGGTCCAGATTGATATAATCAAACAAATCAAATGCTCTTCACAGATGGAAGGGTCTTGAGGTACTTCAGACTTCATGGCTTTAGAGTCTCACATTCCCTCCCTCTAGGGAGGGGGTAAAGTTTACCATAGTGTGGTACAAAATTGCATTTTGAGCATAATATTGTTTATCTTCCATTAAAAATAACTGAGAATTATTAGTATAGGATGACAGTTTAATGGTATGATACACTGACAAAGGATCTTACCATCAAGGGCTTAAAACGTATCACTTAAGTCTTACTACCATCAATGTCACAATTTCTGTTTTGTGACACTTGGAAGCTGCTTACCCTATAACCTTTCTATTCAGTATTTCTTATCACAGGTGACAGGTACAGCAGTGTTCATTATCTGTTAACTTTTTCTACAAAACACTACTAGTCATGAATGACTGAGGGGATTTTTACTAAATTTGGTCAGAAGCATTCTTAGTGGATGAGGACCATGTTTTGTACAAATGGTGTGCTCCTCTGGCTAATGGCCTGAGGAGTGGGACCCAAAAGGAAAATTTTCCAAGTTCTTGAAAATCTTACTCCTCTTGTAGGAATGATTGGATTTTGCCCAAATTCAGTCTACAGTATTAAATATCCTGCTTCTTACCAGAAGAAGTCTTTTATAGGTTTTGATAATTTGACCCTTTGACCTTGAATATGGTTTTAGGTCATTTATTTTTTGCAAACGTTGTTGAGATTCATCACAAAGACTTACCAGCCAAATACATGTATCATGCTTCTGCACTGTTTGGTGTTAGAAGAAATTATTTAAAGGTTTTTAAAATTTGACTTGTGACCTTGAGTAAGAGCCAGGGTCTTTTCTTTGTCAAGCTTATCCCAGAAACTCACCTGCCAAATTCCACGACATTTGACTAGATGGTTATTGAGAAGTCCTTTAAATGGAAAAGTTGATGGACGGACAGACGGATGACGACCAAGCATAAGCTGATTTTGGGTCAGGTGAGCTAAAACAATGATAGGGCTAGAGTGATATTTAAATCTTGAACCTCTGAAATCTAGAGAGTCACTCTAACCAACATTAACAAATATCCTGAGACATGTTAGTTTGTCCTAAAACTACCTGATCACTTTGTCTTCATGCTCAGATTCTAGTCCATCTTGCTGAAGCTAAGTGCCTTTGTAAATTTGTGTTGTGATAGATCAGTCGAATTGAAATGTTTGTCCACAGACAATTTCACAAGTAAAGTCTGAAGCCTTGAAGGGATTCCCTGGCAGAAGGAATATTTGATCAAATAACTACATGTTGCGGGTATTATGAAGTGTAAAACATTTTTGTTTTTACATCATGAGACATTTTGGGATGGCCTCCTGGTGTGTGCTGGGTAAGTTAGACTTGTTTCTAGGTCATCTGACTGGAAGGATCAAGATGACCTATTGCTATCATGCATCATTTGTTGTCGTGAGCCGTCCGCATCTGACTGGAAGGATCAAGATGACCTTTTGCTATCATGCATCATTGGTTGTCATGAGCCGTCCGCATCAGACTGGAAGGATCAAGATGACCTTTTGCTATCATGTATCATTCGTTGTCCTGAGCCGTCCGCATCAGACTGGAAGGATCAAGATGACCTTTTGCTATCATGTATCATTCGTTGTCGTGAGCCGTCAGCATCAGACTGGAAGGATCAAGATGACCTTTTGCTATCATGCATCATTCGTTGTCGTGAGCCGTCAGCATCAGACTGGAAGGATCAAGATGACCTTTTGCTATCATGCATCATTCGTTGTCGTGAGCCGTCCGCATCTGACTGGAAGGATCAAGATGACCTTTTGCTATCATGTATCATTCGTTGTCGTGAGCCGTCCGCATCAGACTGGAAGGATCAAGATGACCTTTTGCTATCATGTATCATTCGTTGTCGTGAGCCATCAGCATCAGACTGGAAGGATCAAGATGACCTTTTGCTATCATGCATCATTCGTTGTTGTGAGCCGTCCGCATCAGACTGGAAGGATCAAGATGACCTTTTGCTATCATGCATCATTCGTTGTCGTGAGCCGTCAGCATCTGACTGGAAGGATCAAGATGACCTTTTGCTATCATGCATCATTCGTTGTCGTGAGCCGTCCGCATCAGACTGGAAGGATCAAGGCCTTTTGCTATCATGCATCATTCGTTGTCGTGAGCAGTCTGCATCTGACTGGAAGGATCAAGATGACCTTTTGCTATCATGCATCATTCGTTGTCGTGAGCCGTCCGCATCAGACTGGAAGGATCAAGGCCTTTTGCTATCATGCATCATTCGTTGTCGTGAGCAGTCTGCATCTGACTGGAAGGATCAAGATGACCTTTTGCTATTATGCATCATTCGTTGTCGTGAGCCGTCCGCATCTGACTGGAAGGATCAAGATGACCTTTTGCTATCATGCATCATTCGTTGTCGTGAGCCGTCAGCATCAGACAGGAAGGATCAAGATGACCTTTTGCTATCATGTATCATTCGTTGTCGTGAGCCGTCCGCATCAGACTGGAAGGATCAAGATGACCTTTTGCTATCATGCATCATTCGTTGTCGTGAGCCGTCCGCATCTGACTGGAAGGATCAAGATGACCTTTTGCTATCATGCATCATTCGTTGTCCTGAGCCGTCCGCATCTGACTGCAAGGATCAAGATGACCTTTTGCTATCATGCATCATTCGTTGTCGTGAGCCGTCCGCATCAGACTGGAAGGATCAAGGCCTTTTGCTATCATGCATCATTCGTTGTCGTGAGCAGTCTGCATCTGACTGGAAGGATCAAGATGACCTTTTGCTATCATGCATCATTCGTTGTCGTGAGCCGTCCGCATCAGACTGGAAGGATCAAGGCCTTTTGCTATCATGCATCATTCGTTGTCGTGAGCAGTCTGCATCTGACTGGAAGGATCAAGATGACCTTTTGCTATTATGCATCATTCGTTGTCGTGAGCCGTCCGCATCTGACTGGAAGGATCAAGATGACCTTTTGCTATCATGTATCATTCGTTGTCGTGAGCCGTCCGCATCAGACTGGAAGGATCAAGGCCTTTTGCTATCATGCATCATTCGTTGTCGTGAGCCGTCAGCATCAGACTGGAAGGATCAAGATGACCTTTTGCTATCATGCATCATTCGTTGTCGTGAGCCGTCCGCATCTGACTGGAAGGATCAAGATGACCTTTTGCTATCATGTATCATTCGTTGTCGTGAGCCGTCCGCATCAGACTGGAAGGATCAAGATGACCTTTTGCTATCATGTATCATTCGTTGTCGTGGGCCGTCCGCATCAGACTGGAAGGATCAAGGCCTTTTGCTATCATGCATCATTCATTGTCGTGAGCCGTCCGCATCAGACTGGAAGGATCAAGGCCTTTTGCTATCATGTATCATTCGTTGTCGTGAGCCGTCCGCATCAGACTGGAAGGATCAAGGCCTTTTGCTATCATGCATCATTCGTTGTCGTGAGCCGTCTGCATCAGACTGGAAGGATCAAGATGACCTTTTGCTATCATGTATCATTCGTTGTCGTGAGCCGTCCGCATCAGACTGGAAGGATCAAGGCCTTTTGCTATCATGCATCATTCGTTGTCGTGAGCCGTCCGCATCAGACTGGAAGGATCAAGATGACCTTTTGCTATCATGCATCATTCGTTGTCGTGAGCCGTCAGCATCAGACTGGAAGGATCAAGATGACCTTTTGCTATCATGTATCATTCGTTGTCGTGAGCCGTCAGCATCAGACTGGAAGGATCAAGATGACCTTTTGCTATCATGCATCATTCGTTGTCGTGAGCCGTCCGCATCAGTAAACTTTTCCTACTCATGCTTAGTCAAGGATTTTACTTCAAAACCCTTTTCTTCCTTAATGCTTGAATGTATTTATATAAAATGTGATCAGAAATCTCATCCTGGGAATTCATCACATTTGTCGGACCATCATCTGCAATTCTGTCATTTGTCCATCCCCCTCTTGTATATTACTTCAGGATTTATCCACAGTATGGGTCAAGGACGGAATCTAAATATATGCAAGGTGTGTGCATTTGTTGAATGTTTTTGTTTTTCGGGATGCTAAAATATTTTTGTGTTAGCCTCCTTGTGATATTTCAGAATCGTTACAGAGTTTATAGTACGACCACACAAAAGTATATTACTGAAGGCCTCCAGCAGGACACCCTACCTGGTCACATTATACTGAAAACAGGTGTCATTACACTACCACACAGTATATTACTGAAGGCCTCCAGCAGGACACCCCACCTGGTCACATTATACTGAAAATAGGTGTCATTACACTACCACACAGAGGTATATTACTGAAGGCCTCCAGCAGGACACCCCACCTGGTCACATTATACTGAAAATAGGTGTCATTACACTACCACATAGAAGTATATTACAGAAGGCCTCCAGCAGGACACCCCACCTGGTCACATTATACTGAAAATAGGTGTCATTACACTACCACATAGAAGTATATTACTGAAGACCTCCAGCAGGACACCCACCTGGTCACAGAACAAAATTACAGTAGACAAGGATTTCAATTTTTCAAAAATATCACATTTTTATTCAAACATAAAATACCACCTTTCCTTCACTATTGAATGTATTTATGAATTTATGTGCTGTGTGATTCTCGTAAGAACACTATCCTATTTCTCACAAACATGTGAAAATGTTTTATAGTCATACTTGTAAAATCTGGATAAAGAATATCCAAAGTCAAAAATTGTTTTGCAACAAAAGTAGAAATTAAGTTCAAAAATGTTGTCAAATCTATCAAATGTTGAATTCTGGATTTTTCAGCAAAAGTGGAAAAAAGAAATGCCAAAGGTATCATATTTCTGTGCTTGACAGAATACACTGGGTTTAAATATCACAAAGGTACAAGCCCTAATTTGTAGCTTCCCTGACCAGAAGCTCCAGATATTATCTACTTATATATTTACCTATACATGTTACTTATCTATTTATTAATAGGATTTACTGATAAAAGTGTTTCAGCGGAGTCTGTACCTAGCACTTGAAATCACCACTGGTGTTATTTCAGCACAAGTCCAACTACACTGTATAGAAGTCTTTTAATTTTCAGCATGACATTGTCCAACATCTTGTGAGGAATGGTGTCCATGAATATAGTGTTTTTAACACTAATTGTCTGCTAATGAGTAAACAGTAGATGTAAATAAGTCCCAGTATCCCGTGGCAACAGATGATGAACCTCCCGCCCCATGACTACATCAGATTCACTCAACGTCCTCAGCAATGGTCATGTCAGGCATTCCCATTGGAGCTGACGACATGGTCACTCGCTGAAAAAGAAATTTACAATTACTGGATACATTTGATACGCTTGTACTCTAATACCAGTGTGGTTTAACAGAAAACTGTTATATATGTAACTTCTATTGATAATAAATATTCTGCATTCACAACTGATTTTATTTATTCATAAAGCTATAGGGTTTGGATACCCTATTGGCAATTTAATTACATGAAATTTCACCAGAATTTATATACCAAACTTATAGTACAGTTTAACTTATTTTAACCCTAACAAGATCCTCTGATGTTTGTTGGCATACGACGCTATGTTTACCAGAACTTACGTAACATCTGATACTATATTTACCAGAACTTACGTAACATCTGATACTATATTTACCAGAACTTACGTAACATCTGATACTATATTTACCAGAACTTACGTAACATCTGATACTATATTTACCAGAACTTACGTAACATCTGATACTATATTTACCAGAACTTACGTAACATCTGATACTATATTTACCAGAACTTACGTAACATCTGATACTATATTTACCAGAACATACGTAACATCTGATACTATATTTACCAGAACTTACGTAACATCTGATACTATATTTACCAGAACTTACGTAACATCTGATACTATATTTACCAGAACTTACGTAACATCTGATACTATATTTACCAGAACATACATAACATCTGATACTATATTTACCAGAACTTACGTAACATCTGATACTATATTTACCAGAACTTACGTAACATCTGATACTATATTTACCAGAACTTACGTAACATCTGATACTATATTTACCAGAACTTACGTAACATCTGATACTATATTTACCAGAACTTACATAACATCTGATACTATATTTACCAGAACTTACGTAACATCTGATACTATATTTACCAGAACTTACATAACATCTAATACTATATTTACCAGAACTTACGTAACATCTGATACTATATTTACCAGAACTTACGTAACATCTGATACTATATTTACCAGAACTTACGTAACATCTGATACTATATTTACCAGAACTTACGTAACATCTGATACTATATTTACCAGAACATACGTAACATCTGATACTATATTTACCAGAACTTACGTAACATCTGATACTATATTTGCCAGAACATACGTAACATCTGATACTATATTTGCCAGAACATACGTAACATCTGATACTATATTTACCAGAACTTATGTAACATCTGATACTATATTTACCTGGCCTGCTACAGGAAGTTTCTGTACAAGCAGCTGGAAGACCTGAGGAGGCAGTGTGGATTGTAACACCTGTAAAAGCTGTTGTGGCTGTCCACACACGGCTACAGCACTACTCAAATGGTCAACTCCTCCCTCAATATCACCTATAACAGAACATATCCATACATAGATTATATGTATTTCTTCATTCAAAGTCTCCAATATTAATGATTTTATATCAATTATCTGATTACCTTTGATAAAAGCATCCAAGATACTTGTTTCCTAGTTCTGATTTAATGAACAGCCACGGTCATTTTGAGGCAAAATCTCCATGCAGTACCTAGTGACTACCTTACATTTCTGGTGACCTGTTAAACACTATGCAGAGCCATGGCTTAGGACACAAATGTGACAGCATGGCACAATCTGTGATTTCAATTTTACAGAAACACAAACATTTCTAGGCACAGATTGAACCATACACCACAGAAACACAAACATTCCTAAGCACGGATTGAACCATACACCACAGAAACAAACATTCCTAGGCACAGATTGAACCACACACCACAGAAACACAAACATTCCTAAGCACGGATTGAACCACACCACAGAAACACAAACATTCCTAAGCACGGATTGAACCACACCACAGAAACACAAACATTCCTAAGCACGGATTGAACCACACCACAGAAACAAACATTCCTAGGCACAGATTGAACCACACACCACAGAAACACAAACATTCCTATGCACAGATTGAACAATATACCACAGAAACACAAACATTCCTAAACACGGATTGAACCACACCACAGAAACAAACATTCCTAGGCACAGATTGAACCACACACCACAGAAACACAAACATTTCTAGGCACAGATTGAACCATACACCACAGAAACACAAACATTCCTAAGCACGGATTGAACCATACACCACAGAAACAAACATTCCTAGGCACAGATTGAACCACACACCACAGAAACAAACATTCCTAGGCACAGATTGAACCATACACCACAGAAACAAACATTCCTAGGCACAGATTGAACCACACACCACAGAAACACAAACATTCCTAAGCACGGATTGAACCACACACCACAGAAACACAAACATTCCTAAGCACGGATTGAACCACACCACAGAAACAAACATTCCTAGGCACAGATTGAACCACACCACAGAAACAAACATTCCTAGGCACAGATTGAACCACACACCACAGAAACACAAACATTCCTATGCACAGATTGAACAATATACCACAGAAACACAAACATTCCTAAACACGGATTGAACCATACACCACAGAAACAAACATTCCTAGGCACAGATTGAACCACACACCACAGAAACACAAACATTCCTATGCACAGATTGAACAATATACCACAGAAACACAAACATTCCTAAACACGGATTGAACCACACCACAGAAACAAACATTCCTAGGCACAGATTGAACCACACACCACAGAAACACAAACATTCCTAGGCACAGATTGAACCATACACCACAGAAACACAAACATTCCTCAGCACGGATTGAACCATACACCACAGAAACACAAACATTCCTAAGCACGGATTGAACCACACCACAGAAACAAACATTCCTAGGCACAGATTGAACCACACACCACAGAAACACAAACATTCCTATGCACAGATTGAACAATATACCACAGAAACACAAACATTCCTTGGCACAAATTGAACCATATACCACAGAAACACAAACATTCCTTATCACACATCAGATTGCCATTTGTTATCTCTAGAATGCCTTGTCAACCGTGTACATATTTTCACCAATCAATATAGATTTAGAACCAGATGATAGAGTTATATGCCTTTCTTTTCCATGGCTCTTCTTCTGAATAGTCGTTGTTAAATACATCACTTTTTGTTTACTGCCAACATCCTCCCTCCCCCTTTCCCCCCTCACATCCGTAACCCTGTGAAAACTTGTAGATACCCTGGTTGGGCAATCCAGAAAGTTAACAAGGAATTTGATGTAAGCAAAAAGATTAAGAGATGAAACATCAAGGAAAGGAACAAAATGAAAAGCTAAGTGGTCATCCCTTACATCAAAGGCCTGTCAGAGACTATTCAGAGGATTTACAGTGGTCATGGTATTGCAGCAGCAATGAAACCTCATAAGACACTCTGAAATATCTTAGTCCAACCTAAAGATAAAACACCCAAATAAAACCTTTCAGAATGTGTATACAAAAATGGATGCAAGAACTGCAATGACATGACACTTACCTGATGCCAAAAGCTCTTCACCCAACTGGACTTCCTGAAGGAAAAATTTCTGAAGGTCTTCATAGCTACCACTGTTGATCGACTGAAAGGATAGAGGGAGAATGATAGCATTCCTACAATAAATCATCAATGCTTTTCATTTCTCAGTTTTTGTATTGGAAAATTCTCAACTTTCATGCTTCTGCTAATGATATCATCAGTTTCAAAAACCCTTGGTCTAAGAGTGTTTCCAAAAATAGATTTACAAACCCCTGCTGGGTCACTAGACATTACCATCTAGATACCAAACAAGAGATCCTAGAGGCATCTTGGTGCCCATCATTGTTTGGTATTAAATCTTTAAATTTTTATCTTTTCCTTCCTTTTCTTTTCTTTTCACTGTTCTTGCTCTTGATTATATGAAAGTTGAGAATTCCTCTTAAGAAATAGTAACAACAGTATTTAATTGTCAAATCCGCAAAAGGTCTCTTGTCGGCCATCTTGTTTTATTAATCAAATCAGTCCCAAAATCCAATGTTGCACAAATATAAAGGGTAACCTTCATACCAAATTTAAGGAAGATTCATCAAGTACTTCACAAGAGATAATGATACCAAAGAATGTTTATGGTGGACAGACCACAGACGAAATGAAACACACACATATATATATATGTAATACATACTGGGACCTGTGTTGCCTTTTTACTGTTTGACAGTCTAGCCTTTCTTCGCCCTGAAACAAAATAAATTCAAATTTTACAGCCCTCCACGGTTCTTTGTGTCACGTTTTGGTATCAATCAGAAGGTATTATAACTAATTTCATACATGTATGTTTGTAAGATGTGTTTTTTTTTTCTTTTTTTTTGTCGGGGGTGGGGTTGGGGTTAGCTAACAGTTGGTATTTTGTCTTAAAGTCGATAACAGAAATGTTTTTCATTTTGTACTAAAGGAAAGATAGAAAATCTGCTCTTTGTGTGTGAAGTGCAATTTTATTCTATATGAAAAATATCTTTCAGGTGAAAAAAGTAGCTAATAGACAGAATTTAAGGTGCAGACAAAAGAATTCGTTTTATTTACAAAACAAAGAACAATAACTCTCTAAAAGTTTGTCAAATCCTAATGCCAATCAGAAAAGCAAAACCTTATGCCATAATACACATTTTCCCTTAAATAGATGAAATGGTTAGTTGGTTGGGAAATCCTTATTAGTAGTTTTCAATTAGAATCGTGACTTTAATAGTTACTTGAAAATTAACCTTTAAGGATCGTTAAGGTATGCTAAAATGTACGATCTGGTATTTGTTGCCACCTTCTATTCCATCCAACTGAAGATTGTGTCTGACAAGACGTTGGGTTTCGGGCACTTGGTCTGGGATTCGTCAAGAACAAATCGAATGGGCCTATTCGGGTGACACAGGTATATTGTGTTGTTTCAAACTCAGTAACCAAAATGGTGGGATCATATCTGTGAATTACGTTGTTCTTCTGTAAAAGGTTCAATAAGAAACAGAAGGGAAAAGAAAACCGCCCTCATCTTTACAGAAATCATAACAATACTATCTTACAAGATCAACACTTTGAAACTGAACTTGGTGAATATACTGTAGCTTACGTTAGTGCAATGTACTAAGTCGAGTGTACCTACAGTAAGGTATACCTACTTTCTCGTAATTTTTCTTTAAAATCAGGGTCACTCCTTCTTTTATAGTCAAAATATGCGCAGTAACCAAGGAAACATAGTCCAGCTCCTGCAGCGGCGTAACCGAAAGCCGACCTCGGTATTAAAGAGGACACTGCAGACATGTTTCCACCAAAGTTATGTCCTCATGCGTTTCCAGCTTGTCTTGGTCGTTCACACGCTTGCTTGTGGTAGACCAGCAAGTAATTCTCGCCAGAGCTCGTGACTGCGATAGGAGATCGCTGTTTTACCACCCCCCCCCCCCCCCCCCCCCTTTGAGTAGTATAACATACCATACATTTAACACTAAAGGCATCTCATTACTATTTTTGAATTTTATTGAACATCTTCAAGTAAATATACACATATACATTCTCATTTGCGTTCATGTGTGTATAACATCACCACAACTCTGATTCACGGGAGATTTCATATTTTTATCTAATATTTTTCGAAAGATGAAAACAGAGTCATATAACGATATATATATATATTCATTTCGTCTATAGGATATTTGTCAATTTCAAACAGTTATTGGCGAGAGAGAGAGAGAGAGAGAGAGAGAGAGAGAGAGAGAGAGTTTGGTAACCTACCGTAAACAAAGTCATATTAATAAAATTGAACTATAACGCATGGATGTTCACACAAAAACAAGTGCAAACTAGCGCTAAATCTAACGCTATCACTGTAAATTTGTAGAATCACGGAAACAGATATAAAGGTTCAATGTGTTATATGTTCGCGTACCTCATCAAGATGGGCTCGATGTACAAGTTTTCATGCTATAAAGGGAATTAACTCTGGAATCCCTCGCCATGCACATTGTACTAAAACGCTGATAAACTAATGAACTAAATATATGCATGTATCCTTCTAGTGTGTGTACGTCTATTAGTATATGTATATTTTATACCCCTAAAAATATTTTCCTGTCTCACCCCCATGGTCTCTGCATTTCATAATTCTGTTTTTTAATGTAACAGAAAATAAAATTCCATCTTATTCTATTAACACTGTTGTGACGTATCACCTTTATGTCGTAGAATCCATCGATAGATGCATATTTATTCATTTTAGTTTGTGTATTCTCTAAAGCACTTAACAGATGGCTTCTTCGGTTAACAAAACGTGGAACGCCCGCCTCATGCTATGAAAAGCTGAGTGTCTTGCCCGATGAAACCGACAGGGCAGAATAAGACGATCCCTGATACCAGCCCCCTCGAAATACAGGCCTCTCGCACAAATTTTCATTCATCAAGTATGAGAAATAGTCTTAACAAACAAGCCCCTTGCAAGATAAAATAAACTTTAACACTGTTGTTACGATTGTGATTTCACATATCCCCACATGAAGTGAAGACGAATGTAGGATTCTGTTCACCGCACACTTTTACAACATTCGAAAATAATGCATCTTAATTATCGATTTTTTAGACGTCATATATGAAGCTATGACGTCAAAATGGAAACAATGGGAACCTCCAGTCAATCACAGCTCCGCTCGCCATGCATCATCAAATATAAGTCTAGATAATTGTTTGTTATTCAGAAAACCATGCACAACAAATTTTCATTATTATTTTCAAATTTATCTTAAAGCTATCATTTAACTGAAGTTTTTTTTAAATACTTACATCAAAATTATAAGATTTTTACTCCCGTAATTGAGAAAATTTTGTCAGTCGTGGAATATATAGACATGCACAACATACGGCCTTCACAACATACAGAAATATGAAATTAATACATGAAAATTTAACCAATATTATGGAAGACAAAAACGATAGTTTGGAGGACAATTGAATACATAAAGGAAGATTCTGGTGATTATTTGAGGTAATTAGTAACACGTATTCAAGTAAGAGTTGTGCCGGACAATGTCATTTTACAAGAGGTAACTGGCGGTCGATAGATGTGTGTAACAATACCTAGTAGGTTTAAAGTTTTGAACACGATATGAACTTGATTGTATGCAATTTCCTAGGTAATACAAGAAAATACCCACATGTCGACATAATCATAATCCAAACTCAAATGCAACGAAACTAGGGCAAATCATGAATAAAAGATATATTTACGTGAAGACTTCTGAAAGGTACCAGGAGAATTAGACCAGGTGTTCCAAAAGAGTAAGCGTCACACTGTTTCATTTATATCATTTGGTATCATTTTATGTAAATTTACACACTGAGGACAAATTAGAATGTAATGGAACTCGTCGTCTTGTGTGCTCTGAGGATATAACGATATCTACCTTCTAGACGAAGTAGATGATAATTGAACCTTTGGTATAAGTAGAAGATAAATACTTGCGGAGAAAATGTTAAAAAGTGATGTTAAGTTCAAGTCTGATAAGAAGTTAAACAGATATCGTAAGGATTCGGATAAATAATTCATTAATATAAAAGTCAAATACATACACCTTACCACTAGATATAAGTTATAACAAATACTTACATCTTACCACTACATATAAGTTATAACAAATACTTCCACCTTACCACTACATGTAAGTACAAATACTTACACCTTACCACTACATATAAGTTATAACAAATACTTACACCTTACCACTAGATATCAGTTATAACAAATACTTACACCATACCACTACATATTAGTACAAATACTTGCACCTTACTACTACATATAAGTACAAATACTTACACCTTACCACTACATATAAGTACAAATACACCTTACCACTACATATTAGTACAAATACTTACACCATACCACTACATATAAGTACAAATAATTACACCTTACCACTACATATAAGTACAAATACTTACACCTTACCACTACATATAAGTACAAATACTTACACCTTACCACTACATATAAGTTATAACAAATACTTGCACCTTACCACTACATATAAGTACAAATACTTACACCTTACCACTACATATAAGTTATAACAAATACTTGCACCTTACCACTACATATAAGTACAGATACTTACACCTTACCACTACATATAAGTACAAATACATATAGATATATAGTTCCATTTTATTAATATGACTTCGTTTACGGTAGGTTACCAAAGTCTCTCTCTCTCTCTCCCCCCCCCCCCCCTCTCTCTCTCTCTCTCTCTCTCTCTCTCTCTCTCTCTCTCTCTCTCTCTCTCTCTCTCTCTCTCTCTCTGTTTGTTTTTTCACACTTCTTGCTAAAACATCCTCATCTATTATTATTACTAACTTCTCGCATTTTCTCAAATCCATGAACTTTGGGAAATATTTCAGATTCCTTTACACGTAATTGTTATCTCACAGGACAGAAGCAGATTCCGTCAGTAGATCTGATATCGTTTGCTGAAGTGATACTTGGTGTTCACCACAGTCTCTTGTGTTTGCCTAGGGGCACTGACTAGCGAAGATACACCGAGATCTCTGCAGGGGTTCGGTGCAACAGGGCAATCACATTATACCTGAATCACAAATGTAACCATGATATAAACCAGGAAACGTGTCTTGTCCAAATTAAACTTAACAAATCTTATTGACGTTTAAGTTTTCTTGTTAAATACAAAATATTAAACTTTGGTCTTTTGGTTAAGGACGTGTTAAGCGTACCAATTTCACTAGACGTATACAAAACCACAAAATGTATTGAAATCCGTATCTACATAATCTTCCTTAATCTCCTTTTGACGTTATTTAATGACGGTGAGTAACTTACGGTGCAAGAATCAATGAACCAACCAAAGTTAAAATCAATCAATCAATCAATCAATCAATCAATCAATCAATCGACTTTATACATATATTCACATATTTCATTGTCCTAGTATTGATATGTTACTAGAATGAATAAAACAACATCCTGTACTCAGCTTTGCACTATATTTAATCAATGACAAATCTATAATAAGGTAATACTGACTAACGTTTAATCAACATGGATCCCCCGAGTTTCTCGGATATTTCTGGGACAATATCTATAATAAGGTAATACTGACAAACGTTTAATCAACATGGATCCCCCGAGTTTCTCGGGTATTTCTGGGACAATATCTATAATAAGGTAATACTGACAAACGTTTAATCAACATGGATCCCCCGAGTTTCTCGGATATTTCTGAGACAATATCTATAATAAGGTAATACTGACAAACGTTTAATCAACATGGATCCCCCGAGTTTCTCGGATATTTCTGGGACAATATCTATAATAAGGTAATACTGACAAACGTTTAATCAACATGGATCCCCCGAGTTTCTCGGATATTTCTGGGACAATATCTATAATAAGGTAATACTGACAAACGTTTAATCAACATGGATCCCCCGAGTTTCTCGGATATTTCTGGGACAATATCTATAATAAGGTAATACTGACAAACGTTTAATCAACATGGATCCCCCGAGTTTCTCGGATATTTCTGAGACAATATCTATAATAAGGAGTGTATATCATATTTTTTAAACCATTACTGGTCGTAACGCGGGTAAAAGACACATTCATTATTATTTAGAAAAACAAAATGTTTCAGCACATGCCGGATAATCAGTTCAATTACGTCTTAACAATTGTTTACATATTACCTGGAACATTATATAAATGAGATATAAATCAGCCGAACAAGTCGTGTTCAATTCACAGCCAGATCTGACTGGTTCTAATGCCGGTGATAGGGGGAGTTTCTACAGAACAAAACAGACAGAATCAGGAACTCCATAAAAGATAGATGATTGTAACCATAATTATACGCTGTTTAGTGCAGGGTATTTTCTATTTGAGAATATCTTTTACGAATTGTCTTCCGCCGTCTATCAGATTTCAGACGAATATGTTTTTATATGATTTTGGACAAATGCTTTCGTATGTTATTGGATGTCAGTGGTGTTAGCAACCCGCTTGTTAGATACGCTATAAATAGACTCTTCATAATATCATTTTAAACGGACGTATCTTCCTACCTATTCAAATATTCGCTATATGACAGGTGCAACTTAAAAACTTTCCATGTTGTGAAAAGGATGAGCTTTTCAGTCTGAAAATATCAGCAAATAATTCGCAGACTAAGATAGAGGCCTAAATCCTATTCATCCTGGATACCACAGGGGTTACGATCACTTGCAGAGAGCGAAAGTGATCGTAACGTCTGGAGTATCCATGAGGAGTCCTATACAGTCGATAGTACTGGACACCTAACAGAGATTAATGACCTATCACACTTTGGGCTCTGATGACAACACCCCATAAAAAGGTTCGTTGTTGTAGATATTAGTAAATCTAAGCCTACATGGAATATGTTTTTAAGAAGGAACATGTTTTTTTTTAGTAAATCATCAAAACAAGTTTAGATGCAAGTTCTTGCTGGACAGAAGTAAACATCGTACCCAGTTTCAGGTATTGCGTCACTGACAGACATGTAAACTGTGGACAATGTATCTATTTGTGGATATACGTCCAGAAACCTTGGTCGGTTAGTACGTGTAAATCAACTGAGTTATCCTTTTGTCTACTTCATTATTTATAGTACGAATTCCGCAATCGCTGAAACTAGGGGACTGTTTATTGTAACAGGATTATATACAGACAAGTTATTTTCTCTCAAGTAAATTAAGCTAAATGTGTTCTTGGGGGATACAAATATGACTGTAAATTTTCATTGGCAAGTCCGGCAGATGTCTTTATTTATGCCAAGTGAAGCAATCACTGTTGGTCCAGTACTTTAAAAAAAAAGAAAGAAAAAAAAAAGCAAAAAAAAAAAAAAAAACAAACAAACAAATAATATATATATATACACGTATTTTGATATATCTCTTATTTTCAAATGTGATATTTAAGACTCAATTTACTAAACTGTATATTGATTTTTTTCATATTACAATATAATTTAGTAATTACGATATCTAATTTACTAGATTTAATAAATCTCTAATTTGTAATAAAGTAAAATCTTATTTGATAAATTTAATCGTTTATATATGTTATATTATTAGGTTCAGTACAGGATCAACATTGCTCGATGAATAAATGTCATATATTGGCTTGCCATAGTTTTCTCAGATTTTCACGGTCATTATTTCGATTTTTTGAATTTCCCTCCTTTTTTGATAATGTCAACTCACGTATATTCTCGTGTGTTGTACCACATGACGAGAATTAGATAAACCTGCACAACTGAAGTAGCAACCTACATAACCTTCGAAGTAAATTGGTTTTAAGGATATTTATGGTGATCTATGGATATTATTACGAATGTAAACACTAATTTGGATCTTCTTCTACAATGTTCAGGAGGATTTGATGGTAAAATTGGTGTAATTTTTTGTTAAACATACCCTCGGCAGTTACCACGGATTTGACAATCCGATTCACGAGGAGCCATGATGCTCTGAGGAGAAATAAACAGTAGGCTTGCCTACTCTCAGACATTTTATAAAAGGATTATTTACTGTCTATATAAACTGCAATAATGGCATCTAAAGCGGCGGATCGGATTGATCCCTTCACAAGCAAAGTGTTGATAAAAACTAAAAAACAAAGACGTTCTCAGGGGTCATCGCATTACAGGACCAAAAATACCCCTGAATTACAGGCATTGCCCCACTTAAAAGGTAAGTTATGCGAAAAAGTATACCGATACGATTACTTTTCATTTCTTAAAGCAGTTTGATTTTATTATAGTTATGAAATTACGTTACATTTGTAATGAATTGTCGCCATTCTCTCGAATCGCTTTACAAAATGGCAGTTGTGTTTGTATTTGTTTACAGTGTTGTAGTTTTGTGTCTATGAACTAGGACATTGTCCATAATCTTTAATCCATATGTTGCTAATATATTTTGTATGAGGATATAAGAAAACAAACGAATGCTGAAATAGATGAACATATTATTTGTTTGAATCCATATCTGAACCAATCATGAGCATGCCCTAGTTTCTTCTCTTAGTTTGCCTAGCAGATTAATGATGGAGAAACAATACTTTGCATGAGGAACAAACATTTATTTCATTTATTCAGTCCCATATATCAGTGAAATGAAGAATTGGTTAAGGAAATGCATAATGTGTGTAAGAAAGTTCCAATTGAGCTGGTTTGAGTGTTACTTTCCCCAGGGACATATTCTCAAAAGACCAATATCACATACCACCATTCCCAAAGGCCCAGTTCATGATGATTTCAATGAGATGATTTTTTTTCAATCATTATCAACATCCCAGAACTTAAGCCAGATATACCAAAGTTCATATTCACGGCACCAGTAGTAGTCCTCTTCAAGTCCCTGCAACATTAAGCAGTGTCATGATATAAAACCCAATGTTAATATCTGATGGGGTTAGTATCCTTTTGATTAGAGACATCTAATTTTGTCAACATGAACCAGTGAAAAGACTTTCTTAAAGGTGTCATGAACAACAAGCAAATCTGTACCTTGGTTATGTGTGTTTGTTTATGATATGTTCGCCATTCAGGTAAGTATCCATTTCCTGGATATCAAAATTTTTCCAAAACCACTCTTCAAATTTCTTTAGATTCTGGATTTGTAGCATTTCATGTCACAGTCACGCATCAACTTTCTTGACGCTAGAGCTAAAATGAATATTGAAATGTTTGGGTATGAACATTTAGATATCCAGAACATTCAGATAGTGAAATGGTATTTGAATATTCAGCACTATTTACTTCTCTTTATTGCAAACATGGACAAACATTTAAGCTGGGTCAGGGAATATTTCCAGTTGAATTCAGTGATAACCAGAATGTATGCTATGCAAACATACAAACATAGCTCATCATCTGCGGGACAAGCGTCTTGTTGAGGAATGAATGTTAGAATGATGGAGATGTTTAAGTGTAGCACAGTTGGTTATGAGTGTCCAACTGACCGATGAAATGCACTTTGTGAAGCGTTTTTATTGTTGTTTTATTTCAGCAGAAAATTGCATGTTATAGAGTCAATAAATAGATGTACAGTGCAGTCTTTAGAGAACTTTCTGAATTCATAACATCTCATGCATGTTGTATAGTTCCCACTGAAGCTGACTGGTAGGTCAATAAAAACCTGTTTTGTTAAAAAAAAAAGAACTTTTGGAAATAAATAAAACATGGTGGAGAAAGACATTATAATCCTAATAAGCCTGTATGTTGAAATTTCACATGACCTGATTTCATACATACTTTCGATCATTGTCCTCTCTGTTAATTGGTCCATTCCAGGATCATGATAATAGATCAACCTATCAGCTTATCTTTAATACTACCATTTTTTTGGCATCAGAAGTAGAATCCAATACCATATATGCTGACTAGTAAATCACGCAAGGATTGAGAATCTTAGGAAAGTCATATATTTCATTTACTGGCGACATGTCATAGTGTGTATTAACTGTTTACTAGGCGACAAGTCTCTAGGAAAGTCATAGTGTGTATTAACTGTTTACTAGGCGACAAGTCTCTAGGAAAGTCATAGTGTGTATTAACTGTTTACTAGGCAACAAGTCTTTTGGAAAGTCAAAGTGTGTTAACTGTTTACTAGGCGATAAGTCTCTAGGAAAGTCATAGTGTGTGTTAACTGTTTACTAGGCGACAAGTCTCTAGGAAAGTCATAGTGTGTGTTAACTGTTTACTAGGCGACAAGTCTCTAGGAAAGTCATAGTGTGTGTTAACTGTTTACTAGGCGACAAGTCTCTAGGAAAGTCATAGTGTGTGTTAACTGTTTACTAGGCGACAAGTCTCTAGGAAAGTCATAGTGTGTGTTAACTGTTTACTAGGCGACAAGTCTCTAGGAAAGTCATAGTGTGTGTTAACTGTTTACTAGGCGACAAGTCTCTAGGAAAGTCATAGTGTGTGTTAACTGTTTACTAGGCGACAAGTCTCTAGGAAAGTCATAGTGTGTGTTAACTGTTTACTAGGCGACAAGTCTCTAGGAAAGTCATAGTGTGTGTTAACTGTTTACTAGGCAACCTGTCTCTAGGAAAGTCATAGTTTGTTTACTAGGCGACAAGTCTCTAGGAAAGTCATAGTGTGTGTTAACTGTTTACTAGGCAACAAGTCTCTAGGAAAGTCATAGTGTGTGTTAACTGTTTACTAGGCGACAAGTCTCTAGGAAAGTCATAGTGTGTGTTAACTGTTTACTAGGCGACAAGTCTCTAGGAAAGTCATAGTGTGTGTTAACTGTTTACTAGGCGACAAGTCTCTAGGAAAGTCATAGTGTGTGTTAACTGTTTACTAGGCCACCTGTCTCTAGGAAAGTCATAGTGTGTGTTAACTGTTTACTAGGCCACCTGTCTCTAGGAAAGTCATAGTGTGTGTTAACTGTTTACTAGGCGACAAGTCTCTAGGAAAGTCATAGTGTGTGTTAACTGTTTACTAGGCGACACTGTCATAGTGTGTGTTACTGTTTACTAGGCGACAAGTCCCTAGGAAAGTCATAGTGTGTGTTAACTGTTTACTAGGCGACAAGTCTCTAGGAAAGTCATAGTGTGTGTTAACTGTTTACTAGGCGACAAGTCTCTAGGAAAGTCATAGTGTGTGTTAACTGTTTACTAGGCGACAAGTCTCTAGGAAAGTCATAGTGTGTGTTAACTGTTTACTAGGCGACCTGTCTCTAGGAAAGTCATAGTGTGTATTAACTGTTTACTAGGCGACAAGTCTCTAGGAAAGTCATAGTGTGTGTTAACTGTTTACTAGGCGACATGTCTCTAGGAAAGTCATAGTGTGTGTTAACTGTTTATTAGGCGACAAGTCTCTAGGAAAGTCATAGTGTGTGGTAATTGTTTACTAGGCGACAAGTCTCTAGGAAAGTCATAGTGTGTGTTAACTGTTTACTAGGCCACCTGTCTCTAGGAAAGTCATAGTGTGTGTTAACTGTTTACTAGGCGACAAGTCTCTAGGAAAGTCATAGTGTGTGTTAACTGTTTACTAGGCGACAAGTCTCTAGGAAAGTCATAGTGTGTGTTAACTGTTTACTAGGCGACAAGTCTCTAGGAAAGTCATAGTGTGTGTTAACTGTTTACTAGGCGACAAGTCTCTAGGAAAGTCATAGTGTGTGTTAACTGTTTACTAGGCGACAAGTCTCTATGAAAGTCATAGTGTGTGTTAACTGTTTACTAGGCGACAAGTCTCTAGGAAAGTCATAGTGTGTGTTAACTGTTTACTAGGCGACAAGTCTCTAGGAAAGTCATAGTGTGTGTTAACTGTTTACTAGGCGACAAGTCTCTAGGAAAGTCATAGTGTGTGTTAACTGTTTACTAGGCGACAAGTCTCTAGGAAAGTCATAGTGTGTGTTAACTGTTTACTAGGCGACAAGTCTCTAGGAAAGTCATAGTGTGTGTTAACTGTTTACTAGGCGACAAGTCTCTAGGTGTTAAAGTCATAGTGTGTGTTAACTGTTTACTAGGCGACAAGTCTCTAGGAAAGTCATAGTGTGTGTTAACTGTTTACTAGGCGACAAGTCTCTAGGAAAGTCATAGTGTGTGTTAACTGTTTACTAGGCGACCTGTCTCTAGGAAAGTCATAGTGTGTGTTAACTGTTTACTAGGCGACAAGTCTCTAGGAAAGTCTAGTGTGTGTTAACTAGGAAAGTCATAGTGTGTGTTAACTGTTTACTAGGCGACAAGTCTCTAGGAAAGTCATAGTGTGTGTTAACTGTTTACTAGGCGACAAGTCTCTAGGAAAGTCATAGTGTGTGTTAACTGTTTACTAGGCCACCTGTCTCTAGGAAAGTCATAGTGTGTGTTAACTGTTTACTAGGCGACAAGTCTCTAGGAAAGTCATAGTGTGTGTTAACTGTTTACTAGGCGACAAGTCTCTAGGAAAGTCATAGTGTGTGTTAACTGTTTACTAGGCGACAAGTCTCTAGGAAAGTCATAGTGTGTGTAAACTGTTTACTAGGCGACAAGTCCCTGTCTCTAGGAAAGTCATAGTGTGTGTTAACTGTTTACTAGGCGACAAGTCTCTAGGAAAGTCATAGTGTGTGTTAACTGTTTACTAGGCGACAAGTCTCTAGGAAAGTCATAGTGTGTGTTAACTGTTTACTAGGCCACCTGTCTCTAGGAAAGTCATAGTGTGTGTTAACTGTTTACTAGTGTGTGTTTAACTGTTTACTAGGCGACAAGTCTAGGAAAGTCAAGTGTGTGTTAACTGTTTACTAGGCGAGTGTGTGTGTTAACTGTTTACTAGGCGACAAGTCTCTAGGAAAGTCATAGTGTGTGTTAACTGTTTACTAGGCGACAAGTCTCTAGGAAAGTCATAGTGTGTGTTAACTGTTTACTAGGCGACCTGTCTCTAGGAAAGTCATAGTGTGTGTTAACTGTTTACTAGGCGACAAGTCTCTAGGAAAGTCATAGTGTGTGTTAACTGTTTACTAGGCGACAAGTCTCTAGGAAAGTCATAGTGTGTGTTAACTGTTTACTAGGCGACAAGTCTCTAGGAAAGTCATAGTGTGTGTTAACTGTTTACTAGGCGACAAGTCTCTAGGAAAGTCATAGTGTGTGTTAACTGTTTACTAGGCGACAAGTCTCTAGGAAAGTCATAGTGTGTATTAACTGTTTACTAGGCGACAAGTCTCTAGGAAAGTCATAGTGTGTATTAACTGTACTAGGCGACAAGTCT